AGATTAGGGCTCTTTGGATTTTATTCTTTTGGCAGGAGGGCTCCCTTTGATGACTGTGTCAAGTGAGATGGAATCTGGCCAGGTTGTTATAGGAACTCAGGAGAATCCCTAGAGTGGGAAAAATAATGAGAACACGGTGCTATTCACCATTCAGCATTGGAAAGTAGAGCATTCATTGTCCAGTTCCGCAGAGACTGAGACGATGGGAGGGGCAGGCTTAAGGGTGGGCGCCTCACTGCATCACTAGGAGGCTTTAGGGGTATTGAGGGGGTGTGTGGTGGGGTGTGCAGAGAGGGGTCTGACTAAACTCGGTTCAAACGCTAAATCATCCAGTTGCTATTTGTGTGACCTTAAGCAAGTTAAAACAAATAACACGATCCAATTTTGTTGATAAACGTATTATGTCTAGAAGGAAAATCATCCTCACTTTTGGAGTGGTTATCTCAGGGGTGTGTTTACATGTTTAAGATTACTTTTTGTACTTTTTCATGTTTTTTCTGATATTTTCTTTAAACAGCATGAATTACTTGTACGATGGGGAAAAAATAAAAACAACTACAAAGCTATCTCCACTTTGGAAATGAACAGTACCTAGGAAGCAGGGGCTCTTTGGAATCTAGGAACTGCGGGACCCTTCCATATTTGGAAGGGAAGGGACAGTACTTTTCAGTCTTCAAGCTATTCCAAGTAAGAAAAATGTTCTCGGCCCCCAGACTGCCTACGGTTCTGTCTTGGGCCAGGCCTGGGTTAGACCAGTGCTGGCCACCACAGTGTTTCACATGCGGGTGCTTCACATGCAGGCCTGAGGGGTCAAGGGTGACCTCACTGGTTTGTCTGGGTTGGCTGTTCATTTTCCACTCCGTCAGCCAGCTCAGAAAATCCTGCCTGCCCCACTGAGGGCCCTTCCTGAGACTGCATTCTTCTTTTAGACTAAGGGGCCTATGTTGAGGTCTCTGCACTCCCATGCCTAGCCAGCCTCATCTCTCCATCAAAAGGGGAACAGGGCAGCTTCACTGGGCTTCTTCCCCTATTCGGGCTTCCTTGGTGTCTGGGTCGCTCATCTGGACCTTAGTATGAGCTTCCTTCTATCACTGTTGTGTTTATTGTTTTTGCTGTTATTTATTTTTTTGAGACAGTCTCACTCTGTTGCCCAGGCTGGAGTGCAGTGGTGCGATCTTGGCTCACTGCAACCCCCACCTCCTTGATTCAAGTGATTCTTCTGCCTCAGCCTCCTGAGTAGCTGGGGTTACAGGGGTGTGCCACCATACCCAGCTAATTTTTATATTTTTAGTAGATACGGGGGTTTCACCAGTCAGTCTGGTCTTGAATTCCTGACCTCGTGATCTGCCCACCTCGGCCTCCCAAAGTGCTGGGATTATAGGCATGAGCCACTGCACCCAGCCTAAAAGCTTTCAATGTTAATTAAGATTAAAGTTCCTTCTGACAGCCGTTGCCAAGTCTTGGCCATTTCCTTCTACCCCGAGGTAATCCCAGCCACCAGGTTGGTTGCTCTCCTTTTAGGGCTTTTCTGATGCATTGACATATACATATAAATGTTCACATAGGAAATCCTGTTTTATATATGTGTGTTGTTTATTTGGTACAAGAAACAGCATCATACTGCTGGGCCATTTGCTTTTTCACTCAACAAAATATCTTGGAGAGATGACCATGGAAGCACACATCGCTCTACTTCACTTTTTAAACTGCCAAGTAAGAACATTTAGGTGGTATTTCTTTATTATTTTGTGTGTATCCCATGAACCGAGGGCAGGCCCAACACTTTTTGCTGGCAGTATTTGATACTGAGGTAATCCCACAAAAGAAAGATTTGCAGGAGCCCTGGATCTGTGCCTCTCAATGTCTCTTTTCTTTCTTTTGCAGAGACGTCTCAGAGAGGCTGTGCAGCTGCTGGAGGACTATAAGCATGGGACCCTGCGCCCGGGGGTCACCAATGAACAGGTAACCCTGTGGGAGGTGGGAGGATGGCCAGTGGGGAAGGGAAGGAGAATGATACATTCACAACCCCTTCCCTGCAGCCAGAACCACTTCTTTCCTCCAGTATCTACTTCTGCTGGTACGTACCGCTGTGGACTAAAAGCTCTTTGGAGATGGCCAGATCTCTCCTGTGCTCCAGGTCCAGTGGAAACATGGAGGCTGATAAGACTAGGGTGGCCCAAAGGCAGTGGCTTGGTGAGGCCGGCTTGCACTGGCTTCCGAGAGCTGACTGTGTGCATCTCTTGCCAATTCCACATTCAGGGACAACACAGTGGGAGCTTGAAATCAGCCATGATTGGAGTATTTCTACCATAGAAGTTGGCAAATGCAACAAATCAGGACTTTTTCTCCAGAGAACAGATTATTAAACTAGCATACCACTGTTCAAAATTCAGGTTAAGGGTGGGAAGGATCCAGGAGAATGTTGAGGATTAGGCTAGTATACTGTCATTTTATTTTTTAATATCATGTAGGAACTTGAATTAGAGATACCTGAAATGTTGAAGATTGTGTTTTGTTTTGTGGAGGGGTAAGGGAATTTAGTACTCAATGATTACAGAGACTGATGGTTCATGTGCCAAAGTCTATGTTTTTGTTCATAAACTTACTTTCTTTCTTTTCTTTTCTTTTTTTTTTTTTTTTGTTAAGATGGGGTTTCACCATGATGGCCAGGCTGGTCTTGAACTCCTGACCTCAGGTGATCCACCCACCTTGGACTCCCAAAGTGTTAGGATTACAGGCGTGAGCCACCGCGCCCGACCCCATTAACTTTATTTCAAAAGCTTTTTCACATTTTGGGAGGCCGAGGCGGGTGGATCACAAGGTCAAGAGATCGAGACCATCCTGGCCAACATGGTGAAACCCCGTCTCTTCTAAAAATACAAAAATTAGCTGGGTGTGGTGGCACACGCCTATAGTCCTAGCTACTCAGGAGGCTGAGGCAGAATTGCTTGAACCCGGGAGGCGGAGGTTGCAGTAAGCCGAGATTATGCCACTGCACTCCTGCCTGGCGCCTGTCGACACAGTAAGACTCTGTCTCAAAACAAACAAACAAACAAACAAACAACTTTTTCAAACATTAATTTAAATATTTTCAAAGTCGTGTGTACATAATTCAAGAAGTCAAATAGTACTAAAATGCTTATAAGGGGCCGGGCACGGTGGCTCACACCCATAATCCTAGCACTTTGGGAGGCAGAGACAGGCAGTTTGCCTGAGCTCAGGAGTTCGAGAAGAGCTTGGGCAACACGGTGAAACCCTGTTTCTACTAAAATACAAAAGAAATTACCCGGGTGTGTCGGTGTGTGCCTCTAATCCTAGCTACACAGGAGGCCGATGCAGGAGAATCTCTTGAGCCTGGGAGGTGGAGGTTGCAGTGAGCTGAGATCACACCATTGCACTCCAGCCTGGGCAACAAAGCGAAACTGTCTCAAAAATTAATAAAATAAAAAAAATAGTGCTTGTAAGGAAAAATAGTATATGCTTCCCATCCCTCCCCAGTTCCGATGCCTGTTTCCTAGGAGCAAGTACTTTTCTCTGTTCTTCAGATAGAATTCTGTAGTCTATATTTCAGATGAATATGCTTATCTATACTTCTATTTCTCAATTAGTTTTTTTGGATTATCTATTATGGTAGTTGAGGATTCAGCTCTCATCATCCAGTCCTCTAAACACACTTCTTTCCCCCATCCATACCCGCTCTTGAAATAGTTATCATGGTTTTGGGGCCTATACATATTCAGTCTTCATGTTGTTACAATTATAGAAATAACATTTACTGCATAGTCAGACTGGCTGTATCATGATTATGTTTCTTTTTCAAATTTGTTTTATCTGGGGTTAATAACTACCTCAGATTTTTTCATTGGCATACTTTGCTTTGTACTATCTCTCACTCCCACTGTACCCTTCCATGGCCTTTCGATACAGTCATGCACCACATAATGACATTTTGGTCAACAAAGGATCACGTATATGACAGTGGTCCCATAAGATGATAATGGGGACCCAGCATGGTGGCTCATGCCTATAATCCCAACACTTTGGGAGGCCAAGGCAGGCAGATCACTTGAGGTCAGGAGTTTGAGACCCTCTTGGCCAACATGACGAAACTCTGTCTCTAATAAAAATTTTAAAATTAGCCAGGTATGGTGCTGTATGCTTGTAATCCCAGCTACTTGGGAGGCTGAGGCGGGCGTTGAGGGGATCGCTTGAACCTGGGAGCTGTAGGTTGCAGTGAGTCGAGATCGCACCTCTGCACTCCGGCCTGGGTGACAGAGTGATACCCTGTCTCAAAAAAAAAATAGATGATAGTGGAACTGAAAAATTCCTGTTGCCTGGAGATGTCTTGATGATCCTGACCCTGTGCAGGCCTGCGTTTGTGTCTTAGTTTTTAGCTAGTTTTAAGAGTTTAAATAGTTAAAAAAAAGTTGAAAATTTTAAAATAGAAAACTTATAGAATAAGGATATAAAGAATAAGGACATAAAGAAAAATGTTTTTGTACAACTGTACAACGTATTTGTGTTTTAAGCTAAGTATTATAAAAGAGTCAGAAAGTTAAAATTTAAAATTTTATAAAGTAAAAAAGATACAGTAAGCTAAGGGTCATTTTATTGAGTAAATAATACTTTTTTTTTTTTTTTTTAAAGAGACAAGATCTTGCTCTTTCACCTAGTCCTGGAGTGCAGTGGGGGATGTAGCTCACTGTAACCTCAAACTCTTGGGCTTAAGCTATCTTCCCATGTCAGCCTCCCGAGTAATTGGGACTATAGGTACATACCACCACACTTGGCTAATTTTTTATTTAAAAAAAAATGAGTGTGCTTAAGTGTACAGGGTTGATAAAGTCTACAGTACTGTACGGTAATGTCCTAGGCCTTCACATTCACCCATGATACACTCTGACTCACCATAGCACCTGCTAGTCCTGCAAGCTCTACTCATGGTAAGTGCCCAATGCAGGTGACCAATTTTTATCATATATGCCATATTTTTATTGAACCATCACTATATTTATGTGTACAGATATCCACCATTGTGTTACAGTTGCCTGTATATTCAGTATAGTAACATACTATCCAGGCTTGTAGCCAGGAGCAGTCGGCTATACCTATCATGTAGCCTAGGTGTGTAGCAGGCTTGCCCATCTAGGTTTGTGTAAGGGCGCTGTATGCTGTTTGCACAATGATGAAATCACCTAATGATGCATTTCTCAGAACATATCTCTGTCGTTAAGTGATGCATGATTGTATTTTCAGTCCTTTCAATCTGAAGATTTCTGTCTTTGAGTTTTTGTTTTCCCGAAATTTTTCTTTCTGGGGCCTACCTCCGAGTTCCAGGTCTTCCTTTTTTTGGTATATTTCATCATTTTGGCGGAACACCTCTTCTAGTAGCTTCCAGAAAAAGGGTAAATGAGAAGAAAGTTTTGAGTCTTTTTATGTCTGAAAAATTATAATTCTGCACTCAGCCTTAATTGACAGTTTGGCTGAGGAGAAAATTCTAGGTTGACAATCATTTTCCTTCAGATTTTGAAGACCATTGCGCTATTTTCTTCTGGGTTCCAATATAGCTGTTGAAAAACCTGATGCCGTTTCATTCCTGATTCTTTGCGGTCTGTTTTCTTTCTTTGGAAATATTTAGGATCTTCTCTTTATCTGTGAAATTTGTTTCTGAAATTCCACAATGCTGTTTCTTTTAAAATGTATCATTTTGGATTCTTGATGACCCCTTTCAATTTGAAGACTCCTGTCTTCAGTTCTGGCAAAATTTTTAATTGCTTTCATCATTTTTTTCTTTCTTTCTGGAACTTCTTTTAGTCAAATGTTAGGCATTGTAGGCTGACACGTAGGTTTTCTTACCTTTTTTCTCTTCTATCTGTCACTTTGGACCAGATGTGAGGGTAGGGCTTGGGGAAATAGAGCAGGTGGGAAGCTGGATGAGGTTCTTAATCTGCACCACCAGAAACCAGGCAGTGACAGTGAAAGCACAGGATACCGTGGGAGAGCTATGGAAGGGGTGACCCTCCCAGACTCGGGGCGTCTGGAAGAAGTTTCTTGCCTGAGATGTGAGGGCTGACAGGGCTGGTGAAGAGCGGGTAGAGGTGGTCCAGGCGAGGAGGCAGACACTCTGCTAGAGGTAGAGGGAGCAAGACCCTGCAGGAGGGAATGGGCGAATGTGCCAGACTGGAACATGGTGATGGGAATGGAGGGCAGATACATGAGTGGAGGCAGCACCTTGGCCAGATGCCACTGTGCAGAGCCCTGAGGGAGTGACAGACTTGCAGTGCCTGCTTACACAGGGCTCACCTGAAGGCGTGTACACTGCATGCTGAGTCATGGGCAGCCGTCAGCCAGGAGGGTGGGCTGTGATCTCCTCTTTCCCTAGCAGTGCGACTTCTCTCTGACCATGAGCACCTAAGAGCCTGGACGGTGTGACCTGGTGCCCCACCCTATCCAGGCCGAAGCAGTCCCCAGCCCCTTTCGTGTTTTTCTCAGATCTGTGAGAGTTAGATCCTGCCTCTATGCCCTCCTGACCCTGTGTTTGCTCCAGGCCCAAGCTCCGCTCTGCCCCTTTCTTGCTGAGGTTGGCCTCTCGGGATCCCTTCCAGCTCCCATAGTTTGGAGAATGAAGCCACATTTCCTCCTCTTTGCTCCCTTCAGTAGCTTAAAGCTGCCTGTCCTGTTTCCTGGGCCTCTTTTGTTTTCTGTCCTGAAAGCCCCCATGTGCCTCCAGGGAGCTAGGGAGGAGGGGAACTGGGGGGTGGTTTGGCACTAGCTGTGCTTCCCGATTCTGGCTCCTGTTGGTGATGCCTGCAGTGTCCATCTGGTGGCTGGGTAGCACAGTGCTCTAGGTGTGAGCCTGCCACTATGGACCCCTAGAGGCAGATCCTCCCTCTCCCTCCCTTCCCCCAGCCTCCTGGCTCCCCCAGCACCAGCTCTCACAAATGCTTCCCTCCCTGGTCTTCAGTCAGCCAATCTACACCCTCCTCTGGCCTCCACAGACACAGGAACAGAGGGGATGGGTGGTGACATGGCAGCTCAGGGCTTGGGGAGGCTTAGCAATTCATAATTAACTGTTGCTCTTCCTGGCCCAGGCTAGCCCTGCTCATCTGAAGCAGCCTGGGTGGTTCTTGGTCTCAGTCTGGACAGCAGCCTCGCCTGCACCTGGGCTCTGTGGCTGCTCTAATGCTGTTGCAGGTGTGTGGGCTAGAAACCTGCAACTGGGTCCCGAGGCCTGCAGGCCATCCTGACGTTGTGGGCGGGACTGATTAACTTGTGACACTCTCTTTTGCTACCCAACTTGTCATATAACCTGCCTTCCAGGTACAACAGCTCACCAGCAGGTGTGCGCAAATGTATCAATAGTTTGTTCCCTACTGATGGCCTTGGTTTGGTCTTCTGTTGTGTGTGCCTGCTCTCTCCAGGACCATTACCTTGTTAAAACGTTGCTATACCAGCTGAGTGGAGTGGCTCACACCTGTAATACCAGCACTTTGAAGGCCGAGGTGGGTGGATCACCTACGGTCAGGAGTTCAAGACCGGCCTGACCAATATGGTAAAAACCCGTCTCTACTAAAAATACAAAAATTAGCCGGGTGTGATGGCATATGCCTGTAGTACCAGCTACTAGGGAGGCTGAGACAGGAGAATTGCTTGAACCCAGGAGGCGGAGGTTGCAGTGAGCCAAGATCACGCCGCTGCACTCCAGCCCGCGTGACAGAGCGAGACTGTTTCAAAAAAATAAAAAGGTTGCTATATCAATGAATCACTGGCTCCTAGGACAAAATAAAAATGAGTATAATTTACCTTTTGGGTTTAGCAGGTAAAAATTTGATGAGCTAGGAACCCTAATAAGGACTGTAGCTATCAGTTAAAAAAAACAAAGCCATAGTGTGCACAAAAATGTAAGCATGGACACAGCCAACTAAATTTCTGAATGTTGACTCTGATCTGTACACTTGTATGTGCTGGGGCTTTGCCAGAATGGTTTGGTGTGGATGGAGGTGGGTGGAGCTAAATATGGAAGACCCCCTCCCCATGGCGAGCCACTATTCCCTGCATGCTTTTGAAGTGCCGGGTATTGTATCATAAGTACCAGCACTTTGCACATATTAGCTCAGCTAATTTTCACATAAACTTGTCAGTAGGTACACCCTTTATCAACCCTATTTTGCAGGCAAGAAGACTTAGACTCAGAGAGGTTGCATTATTTGCCTAAGGTCACATAGCTGGTATGTGGTGGGTAGGGATCTGATACTGAGCCTCTTAGATCTAATGGGAGAGACATCTTCTGGAAGTAAGAGAGACAGAGAGAAAATAGTTAAGAGAGAGAAAGCTGGAAGGAAGTTGGAGGGTACAGGCCAGATTGTGAAAGTCTTTGAAAACCAGGCAGAGATGCTGGATGCGTTGTATGGGGTAAGAGGAAGCTACTGAAAGCTGTTGAGCAAGGGAGTAGCATGACCGTGGTATTGTGGTAGGATTAGTCGGTGGCAGTGCCAGAGTGGACTGGAAGGAGTAAGTGCTATTACAGAAACCAACCTGGAAGCGACTGGAGTGATTGGGAGTGTGGTGAGCAGGTTACTAGGAACCACTGTAGCTCCTGAGTGGTGGGACTTGTCCATCATTCCACATTCCTCAGAGGTCGGGAACCAGCCAACCTTTCATAAGTGCCTACCCTGCATAATGAATGTGTGGGTTGCTCAGAGCCCCCATGCAGGATGGATTTCTGTCTGTGACCTGCCTAGGAGAAGGAGTTGCTGGGATGCCAGAGATCCTCCAAGTCTTCTCTGGCAGAAAGGAAATGGGGTCAGCTGTGTTTGGGCTTTGCTGAAAATAGCTGAGCAAATACTAGAGGCTTAAAAATACTTGTGCCCCAAGTCTTCTGTGGGTGTCAGCAAGTTTGTCAGATGCTGAAGGGAAGGCTTGGCTGACCCATTAGTCTTACCCCTATTCCTAGCATCAAGCCCTGTTTATCCTGGTCAGCACCCTTCCCCTCTGGGCCAGCCCCAGCGTGGCCCTAACTGATAACACAGAACAGACAAGTGATGAGTGTAAGCTAAGTCATTTGTATGATGTGCTAGGTGTCGTACTGAGTGCTGTAGATGCATCTGTGGGCTGGGTCCCTGAAGTGGCCTCCCGGATGATCTTCCCATGCTAGCTGGGTCCCTTTGTCCATTGCCAATACAGCAAACAGAGTGATCTGTGAAATTATACTGACATTGTTTGTTCCTCTGCTCTAGGGCTTCTCAGACTTGGCACAATTGGCATTTGGAGCCAGATTATTCTTTTTTGCAAGAGCTGTCCAGTGTACTCAGGGTGTTCAGCAACATGCCTGGCTTTGACCCATTAGATCCCAGTAGCGTCTCCTCCCCAGTCATGATGACCAAAAATGTTTCCTGATGTTGCCAAATGTCCCCTGGGTGCAAAATCCACCCCTAGTGGAGAATCACTGCTCTAGTGGAAATAGTGTTCCTCTTTTGCACTTAGAGTAAAAGCCATAGTCCTTAACCTGGCCTGCAAAGCCCCCAGTCCTCTCTGACCTTGTCTCTTACTGCTCTCTCCTGTTGAGTTCACACCAGTCACACCGGCCTCCTTGCTGTCTCTCAGACCTGCCAGATAGGCCCACTTCTGCCTCAGGGCCTTTGCACGGGCTGTTCTGTCTGCCAGAACAATCTCTCGCTAGATAGCTGCCTGATTCATTCCCTCCTTCAAGTGTTTCCTCCAATATCACCTCAATGAGACCCACCCTAACCACCTTATGTCTGTAATCTCCATCTCTGCTACCAGTTCACAATCGCTATCCTCTTACCCTGTTCTGTTTTCCCTAGTTTCCGGAAGCACATATCCTTCTAACATGTCGGAGAATTTGCTTATTTATTGTTTGTGTTGCTTATTGTTTATCTGTCTGTGCAACCCTGTAAACTCTACAAAAGCAGAGATTTTGGTCTGTTTTTTGTGACTGATGTATCCTTAGCACCTAGAACAGTGCTCAGCACATACTAGATGCTCAGTAAATATTTGTTAAATAAGTGAATCTGTTAAATAAATGAATTATTTTCACAGTAACCTTCAAAGTATTCACATCCTCATATTACAAATGAGGAAGAGGAGGCTCAGAAAGATTAAGTACATTGCCCTAAATCACACAGCCAGCAAGTGGGAGATCTAGAATTTAAACCCGAGTCTGTATAGAAACAAGCTGCATGTATAGGGAAGTTGCAACTACTGCTGTGTGCCATGCTGCAGAACTGGGCAAAG